AAGTCTTTTGCAAGGGAGGTGTTGAGGACTATAAGAGGAGGCCTCGACACCAGTTCCCTCCATCGGTCCCTCCTGTCAGACTGATTAGGGAGGAAGTTGACTCTCGAGGGGTCTCTCGAACATTCCTACCTTGCAGGGAGCCTTCTAGCCGACTCTGGTGTCGGCTCCACTGCCGATGCTACTGCTAGGGTGGGTAGTGCAAGTGGTGCAAGTGGTGCTAGTGCTACTACTAGTGTGGCTGCTGCTACAAAATTCATGGTTGTGGAGGTCTCTGTGGCACTGGCTGCCGCCTTATAAGCTCGGGCATCCTCCAAGTCCATGTACCCATGAGCTTTGGCCATTAGCTTCTCATAATTGGCGATCGGCTTCTTGGCATGTGAGTCAGCCAACTAGTTGCTCTAAAAGCCGGCCACAAGGGCGAACATAGCAACCACACTCTCTGGGTCATTAACCTCCAGGCTCTTCGCTTGGTACCTCTTGAAGTAGGCTCGAAGGCTCTCTCCAGGCCCTTGCCTCATCTGGATTAACACATGAGGGAGCAATTTTTACTTGGTGTCAGCCAAGAAGTGATGGATGAACTTCTGGGTGAGTTTTCAGAAGCTGCTGATGGAATTCTTCTTGAGGGCGTTCCACCAGAGATTGGCGCTCCCCGAAAGAGTGATGGGAAAGCGATGGCTGATAACTGCTTTTGATGCCTAGAGCATGCTCATCACATCATAGTAGTTCTGGATATGCTCAGAGGGGTCTCCCTTGCCTTTGTATTTTTCTATGTGAGGCATCTTGAACTTCTCACATGGAGAATTCATGAGGTCATATGAAAGGGGGGTGTTTCCCCCGATGGTTTCTGTGACCGGTCTATACACCCGATCGTACCCAGAGGCCCCCATGGTCCCAAAGGGGGCTATAGAGGCACAGTGGTGGGGAAGAGTCTTAGAGATTGCTCCCCTAGTGTGGTCCATAGGATAACTAGGGCCAGGACTCTTGCTAGTGACTTCAAGAAGAGGGAGGAGTCATCAGTGAGGTTCCTTAGGGCGAGTTGACCGATGAGGCGGTGGGGTCGCATACTCGACCCGTTCCCTTAACTGTTTGGCAGCATCATAAGGAGTCCGAGATGGGACTGTTTGCAGTGCTCCATAAGGGAAGTGAGACCTCGACCATTCGAATGCAACACTTTAATGAGGACTTAAACTCAGAAGGTCTTTGGGTCGGGCACGTTCTCCTGGATGAAACCTGAGAGAAAGTGCTTCGGACCCAGTCATTAATCAACAACGAATCGCTCGGTACTACAACAGCAAGATCCACCCCAAGAGGCTCAGCGCGGGTGACCTCATCCTCCGTAAAGCCACTTTTAACAAAGATACCTAGAGAGGCTAGTTAGCTCCTAACTAGGATGGCCCGTACACAGTACTCGAAGAGTTACAAGAAGGAACTTATCGGCTAAGAGCCCCGGATGGAAGAATCCTGTAACACCCCTGGAATATTGAGCATCTAAAAAAATACTTTCAATAATTCAGTACAAAATTTCATTCATTATAAATGAAGTCTTTTGAAACTAACTCTTGTGTCGTACTCTCATGGTTCCAAATCTATGTAGGAATCCTAAGCCCTTAGTACCTGCTTAGGGTAAACCTACCTAAGGCACACATGCTCTCCTACATTTATAACTCAACCACTAATGGGGCGAAAAGACCTAGGCATCATCATTAAGACCTAGGCATCCAACATCCAGGTTGTTATTTTGCGGAAAAGACCTTGAGTCTTTTTGGCAAAATAACAACCCAGAGGTTAGGTGCCTAGGTCTTAATGAAGACGCCTAGGTCTTTTCAACAAAATGACAACCTGGGGTACCTGGGTCTTAATAAAGATGCCTATACCTTTCTGACAAAATTACAACCTGAAGGTTGGGTGCCTAGTTCTTAATGAGGACGCCTATGTCTTTTTGGCAAATAACAACCCAGAGGTTGGCTGCCTAGGTCTTAATAAGGCCGCCTAGATCTTTTTGGTAAAATGAAAATCTGGAGGTTGAGTGCCTAGGTCTTAATGAGGACGTCTATGTCTTTTCGGCAAAATGACAACGCGATGGTTGGACGCCTAGGTCTTAATAAGGACGCCTAGGTCTTTTCAGAAAATAACAACCCGAAGGTTGGGTGCATAGGTCATAATGAGGATGCCTAGGTCTTTTTGACAAATGACAACCCGGAGGTTAGGTGCCTAGCTCTTAATGAGGACGCTTAGATATTTTCGGTAAAATAACAACCCGAAGGTTAGGTGCCTTGGTCATAATGAGGACACCTAAGTATTTTTGACGAAATAACAACCAGGAGGTTAGGTGCCTAGGTCATCAAATAACCAATATAGTAGGGGCCGTCACATATCCGAATATTTGGTTTTGAGTTGAGTAGCTTCTTCAGCCTGCACAGATAGCAACTCGTGAGAGGACTAGGACTAAATCCTCCATGATTCCTTCGACGATCAAGTAAGTTGATGAACTTGGGTGTGATAATGAAGAACTATGTGAGTTCTTTAGTGTAGTGCAATAGAATAATCAGATATTGCTAAGAAAATAGCTTGGAAAACCCCCCTCCTCATGTTGAGAATTGTATCTCTATTAATAGAGGTGCTGAAAGGGTAGAATAGTTATTTCAGCCGAGCACAAGATGGAAACAAAGAAGTATGGTATGGCGGCTGCTTCAGCACCTACTTTACAAGTATCGCTCGATGAGTAGAGGAGAGATCAACTCGGCATTTAAGGCGAGGTGATGGGGGGCATGGTGGTGTCGACATGGCGCGATGTGTCATCAAGGATATAGAGGCTAGAGGAATGATGACGCCTGCCAAACATTTAATGTGATGCTGATGTGCTGTCAGTGAAAGAGGCTCGATGTTGAAGTCGTCCTTTAGCTTGGTTGAGAAGTAATGCCTCTCGAGTCGAACTTGCAAGGTGTCAAACAACTTGTCAAGTAGGCTTGTAACGAGTCGTCTTCAATAAGAGGACCAAGAAGTACCACCGTTCCAGTCAATCTAAGGAGATGTCGACTCGGCGTGTCATCTAAGTCGAGATTCTTGGTTGCCTTAACCCTCATTTTGTTTGAATGTTGCTTGTAGGGGGACACCTGTTCGTTGCTAGCAAAGGGTCATACTCTGTATATCATAGATATGTATATTCATAGATGCCTTTTCCTTTTTTTTGGTCAATGAAAAATTTTTATTCATTCACCAGTGAAAGAGATTTTATGTACAGCAAGATACTCAGTTATTTGTTAACTGAGATTGCAAGAATAAAAAAAAAAAACAAACCTTACAACATCAAGAGACAATCATCTCTATTCTTTAGTATGGTACTGTTAAGGATAAAAACCTTACAACATCAAGAGACAATCATCTCTATTCTTTAGTATGGTACTGTTAAGGATAATTGTTGCTATATCAATCTTTATTACTCTAGTATGGTACTGTTAAGGATAATTGTTGCTATATCAATCTTTATTACTCTCACCAGCTGCTCTTCTTTCTTATTTTGCTGCTGAAAAAGTCTTGAATTTCTCTCTCTCCAAATGCTGTATATCGTAGCATTCAAAGCTAGTCTTTTAATCCTTTGCTTTGCTCCTTTTCTCCTTAGTCTAGTATTAAACGAGACCTGAAGCTGCTGCCAGTCAGATGATCTCCATTCAAAACTCAACCATTCCATAATGTGATTCCAAACATTGCACGAAAAAGTGCACTCAAAAAATAAATGATCTCTAGTCTCCAAGTAAGAACCTACACACAGCTACATGTATTAATAGAGATGATACCCCTTTTTATAAGTCTGTCCTGAGTTAGCAGCTTGTTCTGGACTGCTAACCAGTGAATAAAAGAATGCTTAGGGATAGATAAATCATCCCAAACTGTTTTGTACCACAAAACCTTGCTACCAGCAGGGGCGAGAGCTTCATATAGAGCTGAGAGTTTAATTTTTGAACCCTGACAGCAAGAGATAATGAGTTCTTTTAGTTTTCCAACTCCACCACAATAGGCAAGAGCTTTATCTCTCATTTTCAACAGCTGCTTCCATAACCAAGAATCACTCTTCTTAGCACAAACTTGCCAGATATTTCCTTGTTTGAGATAACTCTCATGAACCCATTTGATCCAAAGAGATTCTTTGTTTTCAAGAATATACCAAATAGATCTAAGAGCAGAAGCAAAATTCCAAAGTGTTGCAGAAAAAATACCCAAGCCACCCCTGCTTTTACCCTGACAGACCTTTTCCCATGAAACTAGTGGTGGCTTCCTGCGAGCTTGGTTTGTTTTTCCCATAGAAAGTTCCTACACATTTCATTAATCTTATGCAAGACACTTGCAGATGTCCAATAGATTTGAACTCCCAAGATGACACTTTTAATAATCTGGAGCCTGCCCGCATATGAGAGATTCCTATAGTTCATCCAACTCTGAAATTGTCTAGATATTTTAGAGAAGAGAGGCCCGCAGTCCAGGAAAGATAACCTATTAGAAATGAGGGGAACCCCCAGGTATTTGATTGGCAAAACTCCTTTAGTAAAGCCCTAAAGATTTGCTATAGAGGTTTTTACAGATAACTCTAGTCCCCCATAAAACACAGAACTTTTTTCAGGGTTTGCAACAAGTCCTGATATTGCACTAAACTCCTTAACACATTGTTGCAGCTTTTTCACAGAATAAATTTCACCTTTTGCAAACAATAGGAGGTTATCTGCAAAAACAAGGTGAGTAATCTTGAGCTTGTTACATCCTGGGTGAAATTTGAAGAGCCTGTCATTCTTTAAGGAATTCAACATCATAGAAAAGTATTTCATTCCTAGTATAAAGAGGTAAGGAGAGAGGGGGTCAGCCTGTCTCAATCCACGTTTCCCTTTGAAGTACCCTTGGAGGGAGCCATTAAGAGAGATTGAGTACTTTGGAGTAGAAATACATGTTTTAATCCAGTTTATCATGACCTCAGGGAAATTCAGCCCTTCTAGCATGTCAGTAAGAAAACTCTAGCTGATAGTGTCAAAAGCCTTCTTAATATCAATATTGAGCATAACTCTTGGTGATATATGTTTCCTATTATAGCTTTTAATAAGTTCATGCGCAAGAGATATATTGCTAGAAATCTGTCTGCTTTTGACAAAAGCACTTTGTGCTTCATCCACTAGGTAGCCCATAATTGATTTTATCCTATTAGCTAGGACTTTAGAAATGAATTTGTATAGGCAATTATAGCAGGCAATTGGCCTGAAATCTGCAGGAGTTTTTGGGCATTGTACCTTAGGAACCAAGGTAATGGAAGTGGAATTGACAGTGCCCAGTAGCTTTCCATTTCTGAAGAAATCCCCTATAGATTTTAAAATATCTTCACCAATGATAGGCCAAGCTGTTTTGAAGAAAGAAGCACTGTATCCATCAGGCCCTGGTGCTTTGTTATCAGACATGGAGAAGATAGCTTCTTTAATTTCCTCTTTAGAAACAGGTTTAGATAAATCCCTGACTTGAGTTTCAGTCAGACAAGGCACAATTTTGATAATGTTCCTGTCAGGGGGAGAAGTAGCAACAGAAGTGCCCAACAGGCTAGTAAAAAAAGAAATAAGCTCACTAACAATCTCCCCCCCATCAGTAATCCTGTCCCCTCTACTGTTATAAAGAACACCCACAATATTGTTATGTCTGTTCTTATTGACAGCAGCATGAAAAGAACTTGTGCTTCTGTCACCAAGCACACTCCAAGCTATTCTTGCTTTTTGCTGATAGAATGATACTTCACAGTCCAGCAATTTGTTGTGAGACGAAAGGTTTTCTTTTTCTCTCCTGATGAGTATAGTGTCTAGAGGATTATTTTGAAATTTTTCCTGAGTATCTTCCAAAACTAGCTTTGCTCTTTGAACCTGTTCACTAATATTGTAGAAATGTCTCTTGTTTAGCACTTTCAAGGCTTCTTTCAGCATTTTGAGTTTGGTGCATACAGAGTACATTGTGCATCCTTGTATATCTGATTCCCAGATATTAGAAACAGTAGGCAGATAATCAGCATGTTTGGTCCACATCTTGAAGAATTTAAATGATTTTTTCCCTTGCAAACAATCCTCATAGATAGAAATCAGGCCTGGGGAATGGTCTGAAAAATGAGGTAACAAATATTCTGCATAACTTGAATTATAAGCAGTAATCCATTGATCATTCACTAGTGCTCTGTCTAGCCTACTCCACACTCTTGCTTCTGCCTCTTGCTTATTATTCCAGGTATAAAAGTAGCCTAGAGTTTTCATATGGTTTAGGTGACAGTCTTTAATGCAATTGTTGAAGTCCCTAGTATCTGAGTCAGAAAGGACTGCACCACCAAGCTTATCATCTTTATCAATCATTACATTAAAGTCCCCACAGATGAGCCAGGGAACATTTCCTATTATTTCCTGAATTTGAATTAAATCTGCCCATAATTCTTTTCTGCCCTCCGTTTGAATGAAACCATATACAGATGAGATGACACAATCTAGCCTCCCATCAAGAGATTTAATTGCACAAGTAATTTGCTGGTCTGAGATATTTACAACCTAAGTATCCAGAATTCTATGATCCCACATAATAAGAATCCTAGCTTTAGAGGAGTTTCTGACATTTGACAACCATTTCCAGTCATTTGCAATCCTCTTGGCAGAATTTGATAATTTTGATTCTTTTATTTTGGTTTCCTGGAGAGCAATGAAAGAAAGATGATATTGCAACAAATTTTTTTTTAACCAAGAGCTGTTTAGAGGATTTAATCAACCCCCTAATGTTCCAAAAAGACAAATTCATCTTTTTTTTAACCAAGAGCTGTTTAGAGGATTTAATCAACCCCCTAATGTTCCAAAAAGACAAATTCATCTAGAATAGCCCCCTTACCAATAACAGAGGGATCAATATCTGAGCAACTGGAAAGTAATGGAGATGCATTTTTTTTAACTCTGGACCCTTGAACAAGTATCCAAGAATTATCAACATTTTTTCCAGAACCAATTATTTGCTTTGAACTAGTTTCAGATTGCTGTGCACATTCTTCAACATGCACAGCCTGCAGTAAACCAGACTTGCTGCTTATTTGTTGTATATCAACTCCATTTCCTAAAACATGCACCACATGAGCTTGTTGCATATTATTCGGGTTCTCATCATGCACAACATGCACAGAAAACCTTTCAGGCTGGAAATCATTGATATTGTTACCATTATTTCCAGAATCATGGATAATCTCTTTTCCTTTATCATCAGCCTTTATTTGAGCAATACCATGCTCATCAAGTGGGTTCAAGTTGTTCTCAGGTTTATTTTCAATGATAACAACTTTGCTTTTAGGCACCCATCTTTGTATTCCAGTTTTCCTCTTGCAATAGTTAGTTTCATGTCCCACTTGTTTACAAAAGTCACACCATCTAGGTTTTAATTCATAGATCACCTTCTGAATAATATTTTTCCCCTTTGGTCCCTGAATGGAGATATGATCTGGAAGAGGAGATGGCATACTAACCTCAACAAGGACTCTAGCATATTCTAGCCTCTGCCTGCTTGCAGTTAGCTTATCAGTGGCAATAGGTTTGCCAATAAGACTAGCTATTTTACTAATACATTTAGCATTCCACAGGTTTAATCTCAGACCTGGTAACTGAATCCACATTGGATATAAGCAGTCATTTCTTTTACCTATCTCTTCATCAATCGACCAAGGTTTAAGAAGAAGTGGTCTAGATCCAAAGAACCAAGGTCCACTTTCCAGAATAATCATCATATCTTCTTTGCTTTTGAATTTGTATAAAAATAGCCCTGGTTTAAGAATACAGATCTCAGGCAAAGCCAAATGTGACCAAACTTTTTGAACAAAAGCTTCCATAGCTTTAAACTTGATATTTAACCTAGTACTTGACCAATAAGTGCAGAATCCCAAATAGATGCATCTTCATACCATTCATCCTCCTCAAAAATCACTGTATCTTTTTCATTAGGGGGTAAAAAATTCAAATCTAGGCCACAACCAAGCTTTCTATTGTCAGAAAAGAAACTAACCCAGCTTTTCTTGGCATTGCTATTAGCAGGGACTGAATTTTTGAAGACTTTTCCAGACTCCAAGGGTGGAAAATCCATAAAAACTCCGTTAGTATTATCATTCTTTGATTCATTTTGTCCATCTGAAGAGACTTCACCAGGTATTTTCTCAACAGAAACTAAAGGAATCGTAACTTTTTCTGAATCCGATACTGAATTCAAGAGATTAGAGTCCAAGATTCTTGGAGATTTAGCAGAAAGATGTTGAGATAAAAGGAACTCCTCAGAATCATTTGCATCAGCCCAAGAAAAACTACCAGATCTATGAGATTCAGAGGGCAGAGACTTATAGAGCAAACGAGATTTAACCCCAGCCATCGGAAGAGAGACCAGAGGAAGGGAATTTACAATGGAGCTTGAAGAGTTTAAGATTTTCGCCATAGATTTCCTCAATTTCTCCCCCTTTGGTCCCGTTGACCCCATAGCATTGAGATCAGATTCTTCATCATCTTCAACAAAGCTGGTATCAGATTGATCCTCAGGAGTTACAAGATTAGAATTCGAAGATCTTAATCCAATACTAAAGATCTTACTCCCACTTCTTCTTTTCTTTTTTCCCATCAAGAATCATGGTGGGGGCACACGTTAGCAATGCAAGAATCGCCCGCTAACGTGCACCGTAAAAGAACCGCCAAAATTTAACACATCCTGCCAACTGTTTAGCTTAGATATTTCAAGACCTAAAAGAAAGTCATATTTGTACAATAAGAAATAATACTTACTTGCAAAAAACTTCTGTTTGGTTTTTTGTGTCAATGCCAAGATTGTAATACAAACAACAACTTGATCTCATGGTAAATATTTTATCTTTTCCTATTAGGGGTGATTGGAATGCTGCAATTGTTTATACAGAATTTTCATGAAAGTAATGCTGCAATTGTAAATAAACCATTTGCAGGAAATTAATGTTGCAGTTGTAAATACAACATTTGCAGGGAAGTAACACTAAAGCAGTCGTTTGGATATTTATATCCATTGTTTGGATATTCATACTTTTATTATAGGAAATCTATTTTCAAATTTGCTACAGAAAGATTTATAGATTATTTCTGTAAGATACAAGTCTATTATCATTTTCTTGAAAGAAATTTGACTGTAATATTTGTTACCCTTCTATTTTCTACCAACTAAACAACCACTTAGTTCATTATAATATATTTAGGATCATTTACTTCAACATCAAGTGTCTTACACGCTGCAAATAAAGATTTATATATCATCAACACTACAGGAAAACTCTCTTGCTACTCATGTAGGTAATAAAAATCTCTTTTATATTTTCCATGAGTTTTTAGACTCCCATGGCATTGTATCTAACTCTAGTCACTAATGGAATTTCTCAGGAGTACTCTAAAAACTAATGAAATTTATATAGGCCTTTTTTCCCGCTAACGACAAGGTTCCTTGCATCGGCAAATGTTGCGGCTGATGCAGTGACCATGCCCGCCGTAGTAATGGTGCTTGCAGTACTTGGCACACGCCGGTGTCTTGCATTGCGGACTTTCAATCTCCCACGTGCACTCACATCCCGGAGGGAAGGGTTCCGATGGACATTGTCCCATCGCTTCTCTCACGTTCATCATCCCTGCCATAGACTATCATGTTAGTTTTACTTACGACAATAAGCAAAATATATTTATCTACAATCTAATTAATTAGAAAGGAAAAAAAACCTACAGGTACGTACCGGATATGAATAGGATGAGGAACACGATGGAAAACGAAACGCAAGCTCTCTTCATGGTTGCTTGATTCTTTGTTTTTCAGTGACATAGAAGAGTGGATGTCCTAGGGTATTTATACAATGCGCACGATGAACGTATATATGGGAAGCATTAATGACTTTCCATTACATAAGTAGCATCTAGATAAATTTCTAAACGGAGCCTTTAATTACAGTTCATATGAGAAGAATATTAATTGGTAAAATATATGCCCGTGATGCTTATATA